AGAATGCTGGATGCGGTCACTGTGTTCCACGTTCAGGAAGAGGTGGTCTTACGGTGGTCAGTGACTCATCCACCATGCATATCAATTCTCACAATGTATCAGGGACAGCGCGACAATCGATTGAAGGGTTTTCATGTTTCAACGATAAAGGTGAAAAACTGTGGCCTATGGCGTTTTCCACATTTATTCAGCATGAGGCTACCAGGCCAGATTTTGTTGATTGCAGCGCCGCTAGCACAATCAAAAATCAAGGATAGGTGGGGACAAACTAAGTTCTTAAAGGATAGGAGCCGAAAACTGCGCTGTACGTCGAAAACGCTTGAAATCAGCTGATCATGTAATTACTAACGTAGAACATCAAGCCGACACATGCACAAGCACGGGATGCTGGCCGTGGAACCAGTTGTGGAGCGACGGCCAGAGTCCAGGCATACGAAGAGTACGAGACGAATAGCGACGCAGAGTGAGGTCTATGTTTGAATAGATGATAGCGGCAGCACAAAAATGACTCACACAAACTAAGTCGTGAGAGTGATCTGAACATCTAGCAGTGCTAGATGACCTTTGATTAGGAGAGGAAGTCCCTAGCATGACATCAAGAAGGAGTACGGTAGGTACAGAAGTGTTTCAGTTGAGGAATATCAACTCGGATTGAGGTTATGCATGTTTTTGCACGAAATCGGGTTAGTGAGACGAATGTATGGGGACGGTTTGATACTTGTTCGTAACTGGTGCCGCCGTGATGTTGATTTTCACAATTGAGGGGCTTAAACTCGAGGCCGCGACTAGCCAAGTGGTGTAGGTTTGATTTACTTTGTAGACTTTTTTCGCTGAATGATTCTGACATTCTTCTTTTTTAAAATACTGGAAAAATGCGGTGTTAACCATTCCACAGAATTCTGATGTTGTTATGTACTCGAGTGCAGCCTTCTGCAAAATTGTCTATGCCTGTACAAATTTTCCCATATACCCAAGAGCAAGGCCATTAGAAGAAACTAAACTACTTATTTGAAACAAAACTGTGTAAAAAGAGATTTGCACATGTTCTGTGCAGTACTCGAGGATTATATCATATCCAAGGAAATTTCCACGTTTCTTCTTGTTGAGAACCATTCTTTTCCTAAAAAAGCATTGCGATAAGGCTATAATTGCCCCATCAGCGAAGAAAACCGGCGGTGTTCCGTTTTATGCGAATTTCTTTGG